TTGAACAACATGGGTTTGAACTGCATGGGTCCACTTATACATGGATTTTCTTCTGCTTCTGCCACTCCTGAGACAGCAAGACCAACGCCTCCTCTGCCTCCTCCACAGCCTACTGAATGTGAAGATGACAAGGATGAAGACCTTTATGATGATCCACTTCCACTTAACGAATAGTCAATAATGTATTTTCTTCCTTATGATTTTCTTAATAACATTTTCTTTTCTCTAGCTTACTTTATTATAAGAATACAGTATTTAAAAAACGCATTTAGAAGTACTCCGATTCTACCTTCAAATTTACTATATGATGGATCTTTTATTTTTTAAAAATCTGCTCATATGAAAGCCTTTAATTAAGAAAAATTTAGCTTCCATTTTTCTTAAATGCCAATTTAACTGTAATCAACATTCAATCCAAGACATTTTCATCAAAATGTATAACTGGCATCTGGCTCATACTTGTCACCAGATATATTCCCTTTATCCAGCTATGTCTGCAATGATGGGGATATTTTAAAATTAAATTTCTCATCTTCCGCTACCTTCTTTTGTGGCCAATCCCAAGCATCTCTCAAGTCCTAAACTTTTTTCTCTAAAATGCTTATTGGACTTTTTTTCCTGTTATATCTCACTATGCAAAATCAAAACATACCATTCCCTCCAAACCACTAAATTCTTCTAATGGCATTATTTATGACATCCTTGTTCCTGCAGGGAACAACACTGAGGATGAGCCAGTTTCGATTCCTCCCTTTCAGTTTACCTGTACACCTGACGGGAAGCCATGCCCTTGGTATTTTATTACAATGTTTTGTTTCCTTTCTGTTACCAATCTACCTCCATTACCCTAATTTCAGGCTCTCATCATCATTTTACTTAGACAATTCCCAACTTGTCTCCCCAACTTTAGTGTCTCACTGTAAATTTTATAAGTTATACTTTTAATTCTGTCACCTTGATTTAAAAATTCCTCAGTGGCTCCTCTTTATCTATTTAATCATGCTCATAATCTTACTCAAGTTTTTAAGACTCTTCATAAATTATATTTAACCTCCCCTCCTGGCCCTAACTTCCAAAGCTGCCCTGCTTCATTTCATTGTGGGAAACAAGTTGAGCCATTTGATTTTCTCCAAATATAACCTGCACTTACCTACCTTCAGGCTTTTGCTTGTGATTTTCTGACTGGTGCCCCTGCCTCCGTCCTTTCTCTACCTATCAAGATTCTGCTTATTTTCCATCTCAGGTATTGTCATCTTTCTAAAGTTTCTGCTGATTCCTGCAACCATATATAGTTCCTCTCCTCTTTGTGTCACTACAGCTTTGCCTAAGTGTATTATGGAACTTACACTACATTTGTTCTGTAGTCATTTCTAACTTGTTTCATGCCCCACTCTAAAGTGACTGCAAGCATCTTGAATGCAAGGAGTGTGTCATTTTGATACCCTGTAAAAATTTAGCACAGTGCCTTGCATGTAAAAGGTATTCAATAAAAACTTGGTAAAGATAGATCTATAGTTAAGAATATCTATCAATCTGTTTCTGCTGCACCATTAGGATACATTAAAATTCCCAGTAGCTCCTATGGCTCACAGCTAATAAATGACTCCTCAAATCATATGCTTTCAATGCTACTATGAAAGAAATGACTCTTCATGTCATGAAAGACTAAAAAATATGTTAAAGTCTCCTAAGTTGCATTTATTAAATAAAAAAAGCATAACCAGATCCTAATTATACCCCCAAAAAGCTTTTTGCAATCAAATTTAGATTCATAGATTAAAGATATTCCCCCAAATAACTATATGCAACATATTTTCATTATAGCTAGCCTCTGAAAACAATAAAATTACTAGTTATGACAAAGGCATGGGTCATTTCTAACTGTAGTTTCTAAAAACATCTTTTTTTTTCCCGAGATTGCATTTCCCGTTACAGATTATGACATAGCAGAAAATAACTTTTACTGTAAATGTAACAACTTTCCATAATTAATACTTCATTACTGGATGAGTTTGTAATATGATGTTGATCACAAATATTTAACTCTTCATAGTTTCCAAAGTTATTTTAGTAAAATAACAAACATTTTAAATTTATTTTCCAATGACAAATGCATTTGTTACTTAAATAAAGCATATACATAAAGATAAATGGACATTATATTTTCAGTTGTGACCTAGTAATAACAATAGAAAACAATGATACAAGAAAATTTAATAATATAAATTTCTTTCTCTTTTCCTTTTTTCTTTTTTTTTTTTGAGACAGGGTCTCGCTCTGTAACCCAGGCTGGAGTGCAGTGG